CCCCATCCTTCTTGAATAAGAATAACCTGATCTGGAACATATATCCCTAACTCCAATATCCCCTGTGTACCCCATCCTCCTTAAATAAGAATAACCTGATCTGGAACATATATCCCAAACTCCAATATCCCCTGTGTACCCCACTCTCCCATCCTTCTTGAATAAGAATAACCTGATCTGGAACATATATTCCAAACTCCAGCATCTCTTTTGTGAACTCATCAATATTATTACAAAGGGGACACTACAACATCATTAACACATCAAACAGTGATATATAAGGATATCATTGTCAAACCTTCTTTTTTCAGAACTTTGTGATTTAATCCTTTTAAAAAAATGAAAATAAATTATTTGTAAATAGCAAGTTAAGTACAATATTTTAGGGAAAGAACGTTATCTTGAGGATGTTATGAAAAATATTAATGTTCTAATAATAAAGAAACTCTGAAAAAAGAGTCTGTCGAACTGTTAATTTCCTTGAAGAAATGAGCTCCGGCTGTACTGGCCATTCGAGTCATACACGTCCTAGAATAAAAATCAAATACGATTATAAATCTAGTCTTCACGTCTCAGAGACACAGACACCCACGGAGCATATCTAATGCAAGCAGCCAGAACTTAAAGGGACTGTAAGCGAAATTTTGTCACGTTTGTTAAGAAAACAATATTGAAAAAAAATAAGATTTCAATTTTAGAAAAATTGATTTTTAAATCATGCTTTGATACTTGATCAGACAAAGCTTTTAAGGGTATCCATGCATGCAGGGTAACTAGAAATTACTCTTAAGTCCCTTTAAGAAACCCAGTCCTCCACGGAGTTAAGTAAAGCCCTTGGCCAGAACTTGCGTTCAGACTGTCCTTTCTAACTGAGGTATCAGGTAAAACAAGAAGACAAAGCCGAGTCTTTCAGTGTTTGCAGTGGTTAGGAACTATGACAATTTAGCTCTCTGATTCTGGATCCAAGGGGTAAAATGTCAACTAAAACCTGCTAAAGTTTTAAAAATGTTGCTCTCAAACCAAAAAATCTTAACTATTAACTTATGAGAGAAAAATAAAAACTCCAACTTTTTAATGGTTCGCAAAGTTTCAGCATAAAATGAGCAAAACGAAGAAGAACAAAAAGACTTGAAACTATAATTTTTTCAAAAATCAATCAGAATTATGGGAAGAATTTTTTTTTAAATCGGGTTTGTTTAGGATTCGGATCCATATAAAAATGAAATAGATACTCAGCACTGATTGTTTGAATCTCTGAAATTTGACCAAAAATGACGGTAAGTAAAGATTATAGACACCAAAATTGTTTTAAAATAATTTACGAGATGTGGTATGAAGGGAATATATACCTGTGAAACCAGCCTCCACAACAGGGTGTCCAAATATTTTCATTCCAATCATTGTCAAGGGTGTCAAAACAAATGCTGCAGTCTTTATCTGAACATTTTCGTTATTAAAATATTTTTTTTAAAAATATTTGAAGAATTTCAGAGGTCGAATTTAAAGAATTTGAGACACAGCTCAAGTATGGTTGGTTCCACTAAAAATTGTATTCAATGTTTAAAGATCTCAGCCGGCGCTCAGTTAAAACCGGTAATCTGACGGATTTGAGACGCGGCTTAAATTCATTGAATTCTGACTCAGGGGCCAAATTTAATAAACTGGAGGGAGGTCGGTGAACTTCCTGTTGATTCAAATCATCCATCTTCAGTTTACTAACCAGTAATAATGGGAATGCATTATTATTTATTTAGAAATCTGGATTTATATTGCACCACAACTCTAAATAAGTGAGGTTGGAACTATCTTTAAAGGGAGTGTTCGCGAAAAATTAAAGGGGGTATAGGCTTAATGCGATAAAAAAGCGCTTTTGATCGCTACTAATCTTACTTCTATCTGTTGCGGCTATAAGGAGAAAATTGTTAAAGACGTCTCATACCTAAGAACTTAGCGACCATACAAATTGAGAAAATTGCAACATACGACTTAGACCGTAAAAAAATCAATTTAATTTCAAACAAATCATTCAGATATACAACCTATAGTCATCGATTATCTTTCGCCACATTTATATATATATAGTTGATTTTTCATACTATGTTTTAATTGTTATGATCTGAGAGTTACTTATAAAAACATTTATTCCTGTTTCGAGGATTTTTGGTAATGAAGACGACATTTTCATATTTTCCAGGAATGTTCGAAAACAAGTTGTAAGCTAAATATTTTTTTAAAAAACAAAATCAAAACTAGTATGAAATATTAAATATATACAAATGTGGCGAAAGATAATCGATGACTATAGGTTGTAATGTCTGAATGATTTGTTTGAAATTAAATTGATTTTTTTACGGTCTAAGTCGTATGTTGCAATTTTCTCAATTTGTTTGGACGCCATGTTATTCGGTATGAGACGTCTTTAACAATTTTCTCCTTATAGACACAACAGATAGAAGTAAGATTAATAGCGATCAAAAGCGCTTTTTTATCGCATTAAGCCTATACCCCCTTTCATTTTTCGCGAACACTCCCTTTAATCTTTAACGCTTAGCCTCGATATCCAATGTGGGTAATTTAATAAAGAATAAATGATTGTAATCCCTGTAATTTATGACCATGATATTGATGTGGAATTAATTAAATTAGGTCTTCGTGAGAAGTAGATCAATGCTTGATCCATGAGATTCGCCACACAAAAGCTCTGACAAGAACATTTGAAAAAGGGATATCAGAATGATCATCACAGATGGCAAAATCAGTAAGTATAGTTCAAAGATTGCACAAACACTACTTATATTCCATTTTATAATGGTCCTGAGGATATCTTAAAAACTAACCTAATTTAGTCTTCTTGTTTTTCGTAGCCAAGGGTGTCTGGATTGGTCTACAACCAGAAATAATTATTAACATTTAACTAATTTGAACATTTACAAATATATCGGTTAAGGATGAAAAAATAAAATATATTTTCAAGAAATATGATTTTCGATCCGTTGGGAACAACTGAAAAAAATGGAGATTAAAAACCAAGTTATTAACCCCATTAGATAAATTCCACCAAATATTCATGTATTTTCTAAAACTTTAAATTGTTAGTCAAGATTTACGACAATCCAAAGAAAGAATATTTTTTTCAAAAGGGGGAAGGGGAAATAAGATATTTATCTAAGAAAATATATATCCGCCTTAACATGGCGTCCTTACTTTCTTGGTAGAAATCAACGGAAATGTCATAAAAACACGCCCCCCGCCCATTTAAATTTCATTAACAGGGTTATTATCAAAATGAACAGCAATAATGGTTTAAACTATTCAATATTCATAAATTAATTATCTCCCTGTGATCAATACAGAAAGTTTTGAAGTTTCCATAAAACTGTTGAAGAGCACCATTCTTAAGTCCGCAAGGAAGATGGTAACATTTCCTAGATAAATACATTTTATATTACGAAACAATCTTTTACCTGGAATGTGAGAAAATGTTTATGTTTACATTACCCCTCCCACCCCCCACGCACACATACACACACAAAGAATACAAATTAAATCTTAATTACACAATTAGAAATACAAAAATCAATGAATTTTATTGAGTTTAGAGGCAATATCAAGTGACCCAGGATTTTAAAGAGTGAATGTCTGATATATGGAGAATCACTTTGAACATCACCTCTAGTCCCTTTAATAAATGTAAAGTGTTTCACTTCTAGTTCCTTTAATGAATGTAAAGTGTTTCACTTCTAGTCCCTTTAATGAATGTAAAGTGTTTCACTTCTAGTCCCTTTAATGAATTTAAAGTGTTTCACTTCTAGTCCTTTTAATGAATGTAAAGTGTTTCACTTCTAATCCCTTTAATGAATGTAAAGTGTTAAGAGGAAAAATATACAAACCTGCAGTTTGACTCAAAGCATCCTACGGTTGCATGTTTTTTCTTGCAATAAAAACATTTTAAAAAACCCCCACGTTTCCATTCTTTTATTATATCAGCCGGCATAAACCCCTGAAATTATAAAAAGGTAAAGAGATATCAGTCTAGGGTCAATAAGAAAGGGTCAGTATAGTTCATTATAATGTTTTTTTCTTCCTTTAGATATCATGTATTTTTCTTTGATTAATTAATCTTATTATTTTTCTTAAAAATATATAAGGCGATAAGCATCTGTGAAAAAATTTCAAGTCATTCATGCTTTTAATATAATCTGAATATTTATATATTTTCTATTCGTATCAGGTTAACAATTTGATTACTTACTGATTTACATTTATAGCATTTTCATATATTAACATTGTAAATTGTACAGTGATTATGAGAACGTTGTGTGTGCGGATTAGTTTTTAAAATCCAAATCAGATCCAAATCAGATCCAGATCAGATTCAGATCAGATCCAAATCAGATCCATTTCAGCTAGAAATCTATATACCTTTATCCCCTCCTCCTCCTCCCCCTTTTGCTCCAGTCCTGAGGAGAACATGAGACAGAAATGATGAGATCTGCAGACTCCATACTCGTACAGAGGACCCAGCTGTAATACAGTTAAATTGACTGTTAATAAGTTAAATTGACTGTAAGCGTAATTTCAAGTCATCCTGCATGCAAAGATGGCAACACCCGATTCACATTGGTACCCTTAAAAGCTTGGGCTGATCCAGTTTTAATTAAAAATGAATGTTTATAGTTTTGAAACCTGTTATTTGTCAATTCTCTAGAGAAAAAAATGGAATTATCTGAAATAAACACTTTTAAATCTTAAAGAAACGACATTATATTTCACATTCATATGTATTTGGGATGTCGTTGTACATCGGGCGTTGCAATTGAAATTACCGGTATATTCCTAGAGAACGATTTTTGGACCCCCCGTGTCCCTTTCCCCCCTCCCTCCTATCAATTTTGTACATGGGTCTGACAGGAAGTGTCACAAGTTGGAAAATTGACCGCAGCGCCCGGCCCCCTCGTCTGATAGATAGTTAATTTGGACGTACATAATTGGAGACGTCATCTAACCGACCGATATAGGGAATAGGCTCTGAGTCCTCTGAGCCCCTGACCTGTATTTTGCTGTCCTCTGTCTGTGCAGGTAAATAGCAGAGTTTACAATCTAGTTCAGGTTTATCTGTACCTATCTCCACAAGTAAGCTTTCACTCATTTTAAAGCAACAAGTATTTCTGAAACATAAAATTCTGGAGTCGAGAAGATGCTTGAACTTTCAGGTGGCCCCCGTTTGGACAGTGTAGTGACATGTCTGATTCACAACACTAAGCGTTCTCTGGGAAGACCACTATAGATACTATAACTATCTATACTACAAGGCTTATTTTTAATTTTGCATTTTTTTGGGTTACACTTTACAAATTTATTCTGGCGGCAAGCGCATTTTTGACGATATGCCGCGTACCAAGGTTAATTTAAATTTATCAAAAAGTTCATTTTTAAACAAAGACGACAACAACCACCTACGCCAAATTCGGGTGGTGTATTTTTCGACCTATGTAAATCCGCTATACTTCACTTCTGACCTATTCCAAATCCGCTATAATACACATCCGACCTACTAGCCGTGGTTTTACAGCTGCTATATGGATTTTTGGCCACAGCGCCTGGCACCCTAGCCTTTCCTAGCCGCGGCGCTCCGTCCCTATAGCTTGTCAGCCGCAGCGCTCGGCCCAGAATTGTCTGGAGCTATGTATCCTAACCAGCTCAAATAATACAAAATTAAACAGCTGGCGTAGGTCCGATATTGCAGTATGGTCGGAAAGACACTAACTTTTTTCATCAAAGTGAGTATCCGACCCACATTTCATCGAACCAAAAGCCATAGCTTGAAAAACCACATGCAGTTAGGTCAGAAGTATCGTAAGACTGATGTAACCTTGGGTGCATGTATTGTACAAAGTATCCGTGTTAACACACAGCCAAGATAATTGCTGTACGCGGCACAAATCGAAGAGATTCGCTTGATGTACAAAGTAACCAAATTGTATTATCTTATATTACGCAGCAAGCAATTCGAAAAATTGCGAAATAAATTATGTGCTGCACTTGTGATGCATAACAATTGAAATTTAAAGTATACAGTTCATTGTTTATTGTTTATGTTTTATTTATTCAGATTATTTTTGGCTTTCACAATGACATCGTATTCATCAGATAGCTCGGATGATGATGGCTCATTTTTAGGCGTTGAGCACGTTACAAGGACTAGGAAACGCCCTTTATACAAGGTAATTTATGCCAGTCCTCCCAACCCCCGCTCTCCTCTCTTTTAAATACGATCCTTAGGCTGTCCTTGCTCGCAGCACTCGGCCCACTAGTCTGTTCTAGCCGCAGCGTCCGACCCAGTAAAAGTTAAGACTTAACCTTACTCTGAACTAGGTAATTTCCTAGTGTATGATTTTTGGACCCCCCCCCCGCCCCCCCCCTCCTATCAATTTTGTACATGGGTCTTACAGGAAGTGTCTTAACTTAACCTAACCCGTGGCCGCAGCGCTCGGCCCCCTAGCCCATCCTAGAACTATCAAACAATGGTCCTCTTTGAAATA